TAATACTAGTCTTTCCGAAAGTCTTAATCGAGATTATATTGGTACCGCCTTGGATGAGCCGGTTGAGAACTCAGGAACATAAGGACGCAAAAGGGTTATCGAAGTCATCCTTGCTCGAGGATTCGTTGCACCGCCTATCGACCGAGATCTCACATGTTCTACTACGATCGTAGTCTTGCTGCATGGCACCTTGTTCAAGCCGAATTGGTCTCTTATGACTCCATAATCATCATTCACGTCACTCACTGTGACTCATGAATTGCTATGTTGCGAAAACTACTGGTGTTTGTTCAGTTGATGTAGGACTGAGGTGGATGGTATGTTGTGTAGTAGGAAGAGCCCATGTCGAATGCTCGTGTCATTGACACAATATGAAATCTCTACGGCTGGGACAGATATCTTCACTGTGTAACAGTATGGGAGAAAACATGCGCATGGTCAACTCCATATGTTGGTGGCGATATGAAAACTCCGAGGAAGTTCTCATTTGTTCGTCTACACTTCAACACGAATCTTGTGGCCAGTGAGGAAAGAGAACATATATTCCTCCAACACGAAAGAGAAAAAGAGCGAGCGTATACGTACATATATGTAGTCCCACAGATGCGGGTATCAGTGCCTTTTCGGGGGAGGCACGAGAACAGAACTTATTGGCGCCAAACAAAATCCGTGAGAATATTGAATCTGACTAGGATCGATGATGAGGGTTTATAGTTCGAGGATATCACCACTTTCTACAACAGAGTGGTGCACCACACAGATGGCAGCTCCTCGTGCATACTCGTATAACGATGTAGGTAAATTCCTATGGTCAGGGGCATTGCTAGTTGCCAAATAAAATCGCTGTGACGAGGGTTCCCGCGCTTGTTCAAGGGGTATGATAGTGGAGGATCTCATAGGCACTGTAAAGCTAGGTCTGGAATTGTATACCAGGCGTTAGCCCCTTAATATTTGACTTCTTGGTGACCGCTAGAGCTCCCGTCCCGTCAACAAAGACATGTAGAGAACACTTTTGTTCGGTCGCTCCAGTGCTCGTCAACATAGACATGTAGGGAGGACTTTTGTTCGCTCGCTCCCGTGCTCGTCAACATAGACATGTAGGGTGGACTTTTGTTCGGTCGCTCTAGTGGAATTCCAACGCTCCTACGAACAAGAAATGCTTTGAGATCCTCGTCTTCAGTTCCTCATCAAGAACTTGCAATGAGTATATGAATATAGACTTTAATAAGGGGGTTTTGAAGCTTGGAGTATTTGTCTACTGCCAGCATCGGTATGTTACACCGTATAACAACCTCGGCATCACCATCCACGAGATACGTCCATAGTGCAAAATACACTTGTGGATTCATGTCATGGGACAGGGTTGACTGTATATGCTCTGTCTGTCATCCGGCTGGTTATGTGGAGATAACTCCTCCGCTCGATTACACACTTCTCCCCGACTTGCCCATGTGGTGTACCGTGTAGACCCACCAGCACTTGTCGTCGTGAGACTATGAAAGTAACTTCCTGCTTATGTGAAGGAGCCCGGAGTATCGATCCCTTGCACCGACATGACATCGCTCCTGCTGATCCTGTTTCCCGGTCAGTAGTGTTTTGTTCCATAGTATAGAGCTTATTAGTGATACAGTGTAAATGTGTACTTGACGCACGCGTGTTTTTAGAGGCACGAATTTCCAATATCATCTCCGCGTAGTTCGAGAGAGGAGTGTGTTTTTCTTCTCATTGTTGTAACCGACACGATAAGGCAAGTTAGGATGTGGTTGTGAAAATCCGTGAATCGCTTCACGACGTTCCATGTCCACTCGAGTCATTATGATTCATTCTATCGAAAGCGCGTGCTCGAGAAGTCCCCGAGAAAGATAATGTTCTCTCATATTGAAATCTTTTAATACAAGTCGTATTCATTGACAATAGCACATCAGGAGTAGAGGCTACATATGAGGGGTAGTGTTGCAACGTGATAACTGCATCGACGATAACTGCAATAAGGTGTGATGGAGAGTTACTTACTGCAAACGAGCGGGGTCGGGAGCTGGCCCACATTCCCCTTGCAGTGTCGAGGCCTTCGTTCTTCGATCTGGGTAGAGGGGACTCGCATCGTTTACTGGCTAAGTCGTTTCGGAATAGGCTGCGACCTCGGGTTTCGGCATCTGAATGAACGAGTGGTTGCCTCAGTATTGAGGGGGCGTACTATCAGCGCCGGCTCGTAGGAGTTCATCTCGCCACGTTATGGGAATTCGAGTGAATCTTGGGAAGTATCTTAGCGCGAGATATGACACGAATGAGGTGATGATAGTGTCAATACGGATCATTGTAGATTCCACCCACATAGAGACCGTGAGTGGTGTTCAAACATGTATTAAAATGATGGGAAATGTCGTGACGAGCCGGGTAGCCACCACCACCGAATGATAAGGACATAGCAGAGAGGACACTTGAAAGTTCCATGGCAGTTCACGAGCTTTGGTACCCTACACGATGGGGGCTGCCAGGGAAGATGCAAATGACGAACTACATGTGTTGGTGACAGTGTGAAAAAATTATGAGAAAATTTGAGGGAATTATCGTCGATTTCTGAACACTCCTCGCCGAGTCCTACGCTTCATGGGATTCCTGAGCTGAGCTGAGGAAAGCGAGCATATATTCCAACACTGGCGAGTCATGGGTTGAAGCCCTTTCTGGAATTGCTTCGAAATCGGAGGTAAGATAATTGCTCGAGAATTGAGGAGACAGCGAGAATACAAGATTATGTTGACAATTTTGGGCAGACGAGACATTTCCGGGAAATGTCTCCTCTGCCCAAAAAGGAAATGATTTCCCTCCCAGCGAAGTGTTTTGTCCTTGACGCCGTAGTCGTGGCCGCATATACACAAGTATGATGCCATGCCACATTTGATAGGGGTATAAGTAATAAACAATCGTCTATATGTTCATGTGCTTCCCTCGGCGCTAAGTTCTACCCTCCTGAAGTGCTGCGAGCCAGGTAACAAGTGTTTCGACAAGTGGGCCAACCACACAGGTGGCCCACCCGTAGTTTCAAGAGCTTGCAGTTGCAACTTGTAAGCCCCAACCCGGGCTAAGAATAATATTATTCTAACGTGGCAAACGGTAGAGCACCGTGCTAGTCACCTGTAGGGCGCAGGTTCTACCACTGTTCCTCACGAGTAGTTCTTTATGCACATCCCCAGGTCTGAGGGATAGTCTCTTTTCGGTGGTTGTTGTTGTTGTTGATGGTCTCACCTTTCCTCCTTGTACTGAGGAAGAACTCGCTAAGATGGGCTACCACCTGAGAGATGATGTGAAGTTTGTGTGTTGACGAGATCTATCATCCTCATATCGATATATCTGTGCGGTCTGCACGCATACACATCGTTAGATTTACGTGTGCAGTATTCCGCGTGTTTTTACTATTGTTTTTGTGCGGTTTTATGGCGGTTTTGTACCAAACGGTTTTGGTCGTGTAAAAAGGTGTCGTCGCGAAGTATTGATTCCTCAACCATTCGGAAGGATCCTTCGACGTGAGTCGATTGAGTACGCGGGCCAAGGTAGAGTGGATGGTTGCGTCGCGCACAGGGAAGAATTCTGAGTAAAGATATGTAAGAAGTCGAGATGTGTTCATTGAGTATCTAGGATCGTTCAAACTAAAGGCTCCGGGGTCGATCCTCGGAGAAGGTACTTCCGCAGATGCAAGATGGCGTACCCTTTCGAGTTGGGTTAGAATATGATGGAGTCGAAACCGTCATCTCTACGGACTCGGGTACTCCACGTTTCTATCCAATAGGATAGGGCAAGCACGACGTTGACCACTACTTACAGTGTATTTGTCACTATATGCTCATTATAAACGTCTTGTGTTGTGACTATTATACAAGTATGTTTATAGTTTTGGTCGCAATGATGGTATCCACCACCGACTTGCCTAGTCCGCCTGAAGTTCTGTTACAAGGTGTATGGGATGGAGTACGAGCCGTTGACCAGTGGGGAGATATGCACGTTGTGTCACATATCATCTTTCCATCGGTAAGGTAGAAATGTCAAGTCTAGGAATCGAACCTTGGGTCTCCTCAGATCTGGGCAAGTGTAGCATTCGTTCTGGTATGTCTTTATTTCACCTTTTTCTACGATATACCTCGCATGATGAGGTCGAAGATTCAAGTGAGGTTCACAAAGATGAGATTCCCTCTCAAACAGAAATTCCCCTTCTCCCATTCAGCCGTCCAAGTGGCCTACGACGAGGGATATCATTATTGCTTCGATTCCCCAGGTCCAGATAGGTTGACATGCTACGGCGGCATAGACCCGTGTTTTCAGACAACTATTTACGTCGTGATGAATGGATTCTTATTCTACTATCTTGACACACATGTACATCTCGTGAAAGAGGCTCCCAGTCTGTTGCAGTTCACAAAGGAGCTTATGGCTTGCCTTGTGAGAAGATGCCTTCCCCCACGACGCGATGGTATCATTTGTGGTGATCTCTCAGGTTGTCGGCGATTTCTGCATTTATTGGTATCATAGGTGGATGCACGCAGTACCTTTCTTACTTCGTAATGTCCACGGTGTTCATCACGGTTATCGCGCTGTGTACAGCTGGGCAGGAGGCATCCTTCACCCTATGGAAGATGTGAGTTCAACTCCTCTGTGTTATACACAAGTAATGTCGGCCTGCTGGTAGATCTGCGTGGTGGCTTGTAACATATGGTATCCTTGGTTGTTCCAATGTCATTGGCTAACAGTGAATGCCTTTACATTCATATGGACGCTAAACTTGATCGAAGAACACAGTGGTCATGATGTGTGGTAAGCAGTGTTGGAGTAAGAATATATGTTCGCTCTCCTCAGCTCATCTCGGGAGTTTCCAAAGCTTACGAGTTTATTTACGAACTCCGGTAGAAATGTACAGGAACTAAAAAAATTTCCAAAATTTTCTCCGGATTTTTGTGTAGTTACTAACACATGTATCTGTCCATGTGCATATGTCCTACTGGTGGTAGTCAGTGTTGTCTGCTTCGCCCCCAGTATATATTACTTGTAGTGCACCCTCTCAGGTGGGCACCCTACAACCTACTTCCGTTTAATCTCGGAGGTGGAGCTGCGGTAATAGTAGTAGTAGTAGTAGTAGTAGTAGTAGTAGTAGTAGTAGTAGTGGTAGTAGTAGTAGTAGTAGTAGTGGTAGTGGTAGTAGTAGTAGTAGTAGTAGTAGTAGTAGTAGTAGTGGTAGTGGTAGTAGTAGTAGTAGTGGTAGTAGTAGTAGTAGTAGTAGTAGTAGTAGTGGTAGTGGTAGTAGTAGTAGTAGTAGTAGTAGTAGTAGTAGTGGTAGTGGTAGTAGTAGTAGTAGTAGTAGTAGTAGTAGTAGTAGTAGTAGTAGTAGTAGTAGTAGTAGTAGTAGTGGTAGTAGTAGTAGTAGTAGTAGTAGTAGTAGTGGTAGTAGTAGTAGTAGTAGTAGTAGAAGTAGTAGTAGTAGTAGTAGTGGTAGTAGTAGTAGTAGTAGTAGTAGTAGTAGTAGTAGTAGTAGTAGTAGTAGTAGTAGTAGTAGTAGTAGTAGTAGTAGTAGTGGTAGTAGTAGTAGTAGTAGTAGTAGTAGTAGTAGTAGTAGTAGTAGTAGTAGTAGTAGTAGTAGTGTAGTAG